TATATATATATAAACATAATACAATTTTTCTACAATTTAACTACAACTTTACTACAAATTTCTGCAGTATAATGTATGTCATGTCTTCTTCTTCTTTTTCTTCGAGTTTCAATCTGAAATTCACCAAAACACCCTCAAAATTGAGATATAAACTCCAAACAATATTCCCAATTGTTTGCAACAACACCCAATTCAAACAAATAATTATTTTTTGAAAACCCAAATTCGAATTCAAAGCTTCAAAGCTTTTTAATGGCTGTCAATGGTGGAATTGCTGCTCTCTTTTCCTTTGCTTTACATTATTGGAATTAGGGATTGAGAGATAGAGAGAGAATTCACAATTGTTTGCAACAACGCCAAATTCAAACAAATAATATTTACCCAAGTTCGAATTCAAAGCTTAAAAGCTTTTTAATGGCTGTCAATGGTGGAATTGCTTCTCTCTTTTTTTTTGCTCTACATTACTAGAATTACGGATTGAGAGATAGAGAGAGGCGTAGAGAGAGAGCATGAGAGAGAGAGCGCACGAGGGAGAGAGAATAAGGATGAGAAATAATTGATTCCTAATATAAAGGGATACTCATTTAATTCATAAAGTGTATATAATTGGTAAATTTGTACATAGGAGGTAATTAAGTTGAAACTTGAGTAGGAGAATAATAAAGTTTCCAATACTGTATAGGTATATAAAAATATCTTTATTTCTTAAATTTTGTGTTCAGTTAAATACTACATAAATTAGAATGGAGAATAGCTACTTTTACTTCCAGAACAAATTATCACTCCCTTTGACATTGACCGAGTTAAGCTATATAAATATAGGGAGCTTAAGAAAAATAACGAGAATTTGATCAGCTATTACACTGTATTATATTTTTGATTAAATATATGTGGAATGAATACTCTTATTGATCTAAACATTGTCTTCTTTTCTTTTTAACATGTCTCACAGTAATATCTTTCTTTTGATTATTATATAAAATATTTTTACAAGATTTTATCCTTATTTATTCTCCTTATCAAATATATATAAGTCAAATTATGACCATATATGTTCCTCCAACGCAGGCAGCAAACACTAATTAAGCTTATACTCTTCTCTGTTTCAAATTAGATGAGGTACTTTCCTTTTTAGTATGTTTCAAAATAAATGACATATTTTTAAATTTGGAAATAATTGAACTTTAATTCTTCATTTTACCTATTTTATCCTTTTACCCCTTAAGCTTTTAAGATCACAAGTTTCAAAAGTCCTTTTTTTTTTAAAATTCCGTGCCGAATCAAACTACCTCATCCAAATTGAAACGGAGGGAATATATGTTTTCAACTTTTATTTTAACCTCGATGCCAAATCAAAATAGAACAATTTCACTGGACAAAAGAAATGGTTAGATGATGTGTAAATATTCTAAACCTCTTATATCAAATTAAAAATCTATTCCTATTAGGGGTGTTCAAAACCGAACCGAAATCGAAAACCGAACCGAAATCGAAGCTTAATGGCTTATTGGTATCGGGTTAATGGTTTAACGGTCGGGGGACGGATTAAAATTTTTTTATTAACGGCTTATCGGTTTGAAGGCGAATTATTCAATTTTCTTAACGGATAATCCGTTAACCCGTTAAGAATATATATATATATATATATATATATATATATATATATATACATACATATAAAATTTATTTTTATCCATGTATATATTAAATAATCAAAAACCCTTCTTCCTCCAGTACTCTATCAAAGTGAATTAGAATAAAAGAAAGCCAAATAAAGGAATCATCTAACTGTGACAAAAGACAGAATTTGCTGTCTGTAACAAGATAGCAACACTAGTTACACCACTGCTTCATCAACTTTGCCTAGGTTTTAAGGCATCCTAGAATTCAAAACATGACGAACATTTGTTTTAACAATGGCCAATTGGAAACCTTTCACATGGACTAAGGCGAATGTGCATAAACATAAATAAGATTCTAGACAAATGATTTATCCATCACGGTGTCTCTTCTGCTTCGTCCCTCTTAGTACGTCGACCACCTATTTAAAAATACAGAGACTAAATTTTATTTGATTGAATTTGGCCGATAAACCGCCCGATAATCATCCGATAAGAGCTAAACCGATACCAATCCGCCCGATATCTTATCGGGTGGTTAGCGGATTAATACATTTAAAGCCGATAACCGATAAGCCAAACCGTTAAGAGTAAATAACCGCCCAATCCGCCCGATAAGCAGCCCTAATTCCTATACTATAAATGGGGATAACCAGGCAGCTCATGGTCAACATGTCTGCCTGGCAAAATTGTGTGTTGCCTTCGATTTTACCACGCGCTCAACTTACAGTATTTGACACTTCTGTACCTGACATGTAGGCTTTACTGTGACTATTGTAACTTTTTATTTGTTACATTCTACTCCCTCCTGTCCAAAATAAGTGATTTTTTGGCCTTTTTCTTGTGGTCCAAAATAAGTGATTTTTCCAGATTTCAAGAATAAATTAATTATTTTTTTCCTACATTGTCCTTGGAGTAAATAGTGTTGGAATATGTGTTAGGAGTGTTTATGTGAGATAGTAAATGTTAATATGGTCAATTCCATTGCTAATTAATGCTAAAAGGTGAATTTCTTAATATGTGCGAAAACATCCAAAAAATCACTTATTTTGGACCAGATGGAGTATATATTTTGGACTTCTATTAGTAGCCACGTGTATTCTGGCTTTAAAGTAATTAACATAGGTGTACTTTACTAATTATATGCTTGCATAAATAATAGTAATACTTATGAAATTAACATTGTACTAAAAAGAGAAATTAAAGATTTAAGTGTATACTATTTCTCCAACCAATTTCTTTGGTAAATTTTTAAAAAGTTTAAGCATAATTGACATCCCGAAAAGCAACAGAGAGAGACACCTAGCAATTATCTCTGAACTCTTATCCAAAGAGAGAAAATATCCATAATTCTACCTTTCCACATATCAATATATTCTTTTTTCTTTCTTTTTAAAATTGTAGGAATACTCTACTAAAGGATTCAAACCTTTTCGTTTTATTTTTCAATGTCGACATGCAAATCTCTTTTTGTATCACTCTACTTCAAATAGATAGAGCAAAAGAAAGAATTTTACAACAAATTATATATGTATTGATATATACAGTGAACTTAAAATGAAAGACAATCTATCCACACAAAAAATACTAATCTATTTCCGTGTTTAAAATGAACAGACACATGCTTTTAAAGGAGATTATAGTTGAAAGATAATTACCATTGTTTGAAATAATAATTTATTTTAAAGATAATTTTAAGAATTAAATATAAAGTAATGAGTCAGCCGTGATAGTTCAAAGATAAAAAATATATTTTATTTTGACTTAACTTAGTTGATTTTATGATACAACAATAATTGTTGCACATAATATTGTTCTTGAATACCAAAATATTCGTTGTACCAAATAATGGGTTATCCAATATTTATTTTTAGTGAAAAAAGATGTTCATGCATGTGATAGAGGTCACATTAGACTTCAAGAAAATTATCATAGATTACATTCTAAATACTGCATTAAAAATGGTATTTTTTTTTTCCATGCATTTGCAAATAAATTAAAAGAAATGCGTATTCAACAATTTTGAGATATTCTGGATAGTTTAGTTCTACTATTTGGATTTTATCCTCCAATTATCAAACGAGCTTGTGAATATGCTCAAAGCGGGATAAAGGAAGTTGTGGCCGAAAGAAAAAAAATCAATCCAAAATAAATAAAAAATCATAAAAAGAAGTAAGAATGCGTTTTGCATCTTTTCAGCTGCTAATTCTTTTTAATAGTTTTCTTAGACGAGAAACAAATTACGAATATGTGAATAATTAATAATCTCTAATGATAGACAAGCAGAAAAAGCAGAACTCGAAGAAATCGCGTATCATGAAACACACAGCTTGCACATTCTGATACTTGAAGGCAAGATTAAGTCATAAAAGTCAATAATTTCATTTAAATCAATTTAACTATTTAACTCAAAAGGTTAAGTGAAAAGGAAAATCTCACATTGTCGGGCCCCTGCTGAGCACGGGCCAACTTTTACTAGTATTACTTATAAACATGGACGGTTATTTGCTAGTTTGACGGTAAATACTTACTCACACCGAGTGTTTACACCAAACTATAGTAACTCACTATGATTAATTAAGTTAATTAGATGAGAATGCATGTAATTTATCATGGTTAAATGATTGAAGTCCATATGCAAGACATATGTCATATATGTATTGATTTGGTGTAAGCACCCGATGCGGGTAAGTTTTTACCCTAGTGGTATATGTCTTGAATTTATTTTAGGAAGATATCATTTTCTGTTGAACCAACTAAATGAAAAGTAGGTCAAAATAATTAATGTACGCAAGGAACATTTACTTTCACTCTCTTTTTTTTGTTTTTTTTGTTTTAACCTAATGGGAAATGCAGATTATGGCAAACATTTCTGGTGGTACTGGTGGTGTACTCAGCATGGTCATCTCCCTTTGAGCTGGCATTCAAAAACGCAGCAACTGGAGGACTTTTGCCAGTTGATTTAGTGGTGGACGCCTTCTTTGCTATTGACATTATTCTCACTTTCTTCGTTGCATATTTGGACAAATCTACTTACTTGCTTGTCGAAGAACACAACAAAATTGCTTTCAGGTAACCCCCCCAACCCCAACCCTATACGCTCATTTGGTTCAATACTTGAAAAAGAGATCAAGATGAAAATGAGTTTTCAAGTGCTGACATTTTATTTCTATCAAGTAAAGAAGGGACGTTTCCTGTTAAAACATAAATAACTGCTTGGGAAATGGAAGCTTTATTTTACCTTCATGTTGACAAGTTAGTAGCACACAATCAATGAGCCTTTAATAAATCAGAAGATGGAGAGGTACTAGTCTACACAAGACCCTTAATAGGTCCAAATTTATGTAGCACTGTTTGGATTTGAGAGTCAAACACTTAAATTTTATCCGTGAATTCGGACATGAAATCTTTAAATTTTTTGAAATAAGATTTACATATTTGGAAACTATGTAAAACTACTATAATTATAATGATTAACAATTCAAAATATTTAAAAGGAATTGAAAAGCATGTAGTCAAATAAAATTCGCTTGACTCTCAAAATCTGAACAGTGATACTAAATTGGGACAGAGGGACTAACAATAAACGCTAAAAAGCATTGAGACAAGGCCCTTACTAGGGATGGCAAACGGGCGGGTCGGGTCGGATATGGGACGGGTCGAATCCGGCTAATGAAAAAATAGATAATTTATCCGACCCGACCCATATTTAATACGGATAAAAAACGGGTTAACCGGCGGATAACATGGGTAACCATATTATCATGGCTTCATGAATATGATCACTTTTGGGAGAATTCCTAGTCTCCCAAACTTGAGGAACCCCTGATTTGAGGGTTTATAAATATAAAAGTTAAACCCATTGATTATCTATTTTCTAAATGGATAATATGATTTTTATCCATATTTGACTTGTACGTTTTTAAAAAGTTCATTATCCAACCCATTTTTTATTGAATAGTATGGGTGGTTAACTGTTTTCTTTTAACCATTTTGCCACCCCTAGCCCTTACTATTGGTGTAGTGAAAGTTTGAAGGGGCTTGACTCGGGAATTGATGTTGTTGGATTTCTCTCCTGTTTGAAAAGGTACATATCACATCTATGGTTCCCAATGGATGTAGCTTCAACTCTACCATTTCAAACCATAAACCGGATCGTCACTGGAAAAATGAACCGAGGACCAGTCTTTGGCTTCCTCAACTTGCTAAGACTGTGGCGACTGCGTCGTGTTAGTGAATTCTTCTCAAGGTACTCATAATGCTCAACCATGAAATTCTATTATGTGTTCCATAAATATCATCACTTCCTATAGAGTTAGAAACTATATCAGCTAATCTCTTCCCCTTAATTCCTTCCAGACTGGAGAAAGACACTCGATTCAGCTACTTCTGGACAAGATACTGTAAACTTATTTGTGTAAATACTTGTCATCTTAGCTATACATTACATTACTTTTTACCTGATCATAATATATAGGCATCAATATATGTCATCTTGAAATGGCATTGATCTTCTTATGGTTGTATTCAACGACAGGTAACGTTATTTGCAGTGCATTCAGCAGGGTGTTTCTATTTCTGGCTGGCAACACGTTATCATAATTCAGAGGATACCTGGATTGGGAAAAATATTCCTGATTTCAAAACAAAAAGTATCTGGCAAGGATACACCTACTCCATGTATTGGTCTATTACCACCCTCGCAACAGTTGGCTATGGCGATCTCTATGCTGTGAATACGGAAGAGAAGGTTTTCACCATCTTTTACATGCTTTTCAACATTGGACTTACTGCCTACTTAATCGGCAATATGACTAACCTTATTGTCCATACTGCTGTCCGAACCTTTGCCATGGTAATAATCATTTTCCTTTATTACGTACTTTTCTCACCTCTTTTCAAGATTTTGCCTAGTTACTTGGGAACTGCCTGCAGAGGGATGCGATCAATAAGATCCTGAGTTATACAAGCAAGAATAGAATTCCTGAAGGACTAAAAGAGCAAATGCTGGCACATTTGACACTAAAATTCAAGACAGCAGAACTACAACAAGAACAAGTATTAGAGGACTTGCCCAAGGCTATAAGATCTGGCATTTCAAAACATCTCTTCCGTACAACCTTAGAAAATACCTACCTTTTCAAAGGAGTCTCCGAAGATTTTATAATCCAGTTGGTAATGTTTTCATCCCTAACCTCCCTGCAGCTAATTATTCTATAGGCATATGTAAAACTGAATTGTTGATACCTGCATAATCTAATGAAATGTTGAAGAATTACCAGGAAACAAAGAGCAATCATGTTGTTGTTCTTGTTTTGAACTTCAACCACTGCAGCAATCCACAGAACTAATTAAGCTATGACCTTTCACTTTTAACAATACAGGTTTCAGAGATAAAAGCAGAATATTTCCCACCAAAAGTGGACATTGTCATTCAAAATGAGATACCGACAGATTTCTACATAGTTGTATCTGGGGCTGTGGTATGTGCCATTCATTCCGGTCAAGTTTTAATTTGCTCTTTGTATACCAGATAGTACGTTACTAACTTACTGACCGATGCAGGATGTTATAACATACAAGAATGGAACAGAACAGGTAACCTATCTCATCTTCTCACTGTTCAATGGTGCTAAATAATAAAAAACCAACAATGCTAAAATCACATTGAACTGCAACACATGATGTACATTAAGCTGACAACTCAACAGAAACATAGATCTTTCAGGTCAAATGTGTATTAAAGCTGATGCTAGCCAGAGGAATCTCTGTTATCTCTATCTACATTATATACCAACCATCCAATATATTTATCATATTAGTAAAATCTTAATGCAAAAACATAATTAATCGAGATATATATGACTGTTAATTCTTCTGATAAAAAGTTCAAATCTTGCTACATACAGTTTCTATCAAAGTTGGGGTCTCAAGAAATGTTTGGTGACATAGGTGTGATATTTAATATCCCTCAACCTTTCACAGTGAGAAGTAAGAGGCTTTCTCAGGTTGTTCGGATTAGTCATCATCATTTCAAGCAACTTGTGCAGCCCCTTAAAGAAGATGGGAAGATAATTCTCGCCAATTTCGTTCAGGTGCATGCTTTGGTAGCTTTAATTTATCCATTTTCCCTGTACCTCACTCTATTTGTGATCGAATCTCAGCCTTAAAAAAATACTGGCATTTTCAAATTAAATGACAGTTTAACATATCAGCATTCAGCTCTTAATAGCATGTAAAAAGTTATATAGTAATTTGTTTACTTACGTCACCTTTTTTCCTGATCTTTGCGGTATTTATCAGCATCTGAAGGGATTGAAAATGGAGGAGCTAGCAGAGATGCCACTCGTATCAGAATTTCTTGATGACTTAGATAGCGAGGTAACTAGGAGCTTAGTTTTTCTTTCTTAATGTCCAGAAACAGGAAAAAATTGTGTCCAGAAAAGATTTCATGATTTGCAATGACCAAACCAACTGTAGCTGACCTCTTAGTTAGCATGCAGAGCAAGCTAATGTTATACTGTCCGACATATGAAAGCCTCAAAAGTCCCTTTTCCCTCAGAATAAAAATTTTATGTTGCCTCACTCAATTGCAGGAAGCCACAGTTATTGAGGCCGGGACACAAGATCAAGCAGGAGAAGCTCAACAAGAAAATAGTAAGCTCGCACTTCACTTAGAATTGTTACACAATTAATACATAGGGAGTAACTAAGAAGGAAATGCTGATGACAAAAAGTGTGCACTTCATATCAAAAGTTACTACAGTCTTGATTATTATCTGTTATACTTTTACTCAATGTTCCTTCGTTTTTGTTCCATATCTTCCCTGAATGGGTGTGACTACTACTTTTATTCTCAGTAATTCAATTAACTTTGAAGGATTCTAAACCCTCATTTTGGATGCAGTAATACCTACAACAACTCCTGTCCTGTCAAACACACTTCCTACGAGAGTGATAATTCACGGATATCATCCAGATAATCGTAGAACAAACAAAGGAGGAAATGCAGGAAAATTAATCCATCTACCTGATTCAGTTGAAGATCTCCTAAGTATAGCAGGTGATGATTAAATTTTGAAAGATTGTAGAATTCGTCCCTTCAACAATTTCACCGTCCTCTCATACGAAACTCATGATCTTTTCGAAGAAAGTATTCAGAATCCTGTCTAACTATGTTATTTGGTGGATGCAGAAACAAAGTTTGGGAAAAGAGGAACCATTATTGTCATGGCGGATGGCTCTCAAGTGGAGGATTTGGCTGCTCTGCGAGAGGATGATCACTTGTATATTTTTTGACAGAAAAACTCTTACTATATAAAAGAGGAAACAGGTGTACTGAATGATAAGCCGAATCATTAGAAGCATAAGAGTTGAAGCTCTGAATATATAGCTTAAGCAATTCTCTGGAAAATGTTCCTTCTGTGTCTTAAGAGCATATATTGGCTTTCAACTTTTCAGTGTCCTATCTAATTCAGCAGAACTCCTGTCAATTTTGCTGCAGAAGATCTTGTAGGCATTTAAATTTCATCGATTTGAATCCATAAGAAATTTGGATTAAATTATAAGTTCAAAATATATTAGTCCAAATAAATATATTACATAAATTAATATAATTGAATTAATTAGTTAAGTCCAATACATATCAAATACATAAAAGTCCATCTCATTGAGTTGGTCCATCTAGTTGGGTTGTCAATAATAAGCCCACTTTATTAGCTTAACCTCTATCATGTGTTCTTTGGGGCAAGCGCATAGATGGTCATCTCAGGGATGCTATTTAGAGATTAGTCAGTACTTATATTTTTCTGAAATTTTAAACTAAAAATCTTAATTTCAGGACAATTTAGGACATTTTTGTTCTAAAAAATTAAACTTAAAAACTAAAATGTAGGGCACACTGGCTAATTCCTAAACAACAGCCCTGAAAAGTGGCTAGCTGGTGTCATTTCTACTTATTCTTTGGTCTTTTTAATAACGAAATTTAGAAATGCCTCTAGTGATGGTGATAGCGGCACATTTTGCTTGTGGCGGATTAACAGTTTAGCTTTCTAAATTCTGATTGAGAGAATAAGTTCTAAATTGTATATCAAACTCTATAATTTATAAAATGTGATCTTAAATCACCAGATTCTGCCGAACTCGAGAACCCATCGTTGATTCTGCCATGGCATTTATCCCTTCAATTTTAAATGAAGTGAATACACTGTAAATTTTTTAAAATAAAACATAAAAGCAAAACTTTCAGTAAATATTTTGCTCATCAAATCGTTTAAGTAATACATTATAGATACCATTCTTGAATTTCTTCTGCTTCAACTAAGGAAGCATATAAGACTGTAAGTACATGCATGTCTATGGATTATGATCAGTACAAAGATCATATTGGTGTTTGAGTAATTTTGACAGTCTATGAGAGGCGATCATATGTGGTGGGATACAGGTGCAGACACCCGTAGGGCTGCAGTAAGCTCCTGCTGGACATAGTGGCAAGCACTTCTTCAGCATTTCACAGTCGCAAGCCAAATTATCTGCCTCTACTCGCATAATCACCTACTTACTTTCTCTATATGTTTGAAAAGGAATATCTACTTCGATAGTTCTATCATACTCCTACTAAAAGTAATAAATAGTCTATGTTTTGTTATACAGTGGTAGCCATCTTTTCTTTAAGAAAGTCCAAGAGACATATGTTTTCAATTTCTATGTTAAATATGATTAATGCTTTAATTTATGTGAATCTATTTGAATGACAGTTTAACAAAGAAAGTAAAGCTTCTAAAACATGTGATCTTAATTATGTCATAGCATTTGTATCGTTATAATACTTTTAAAACTTGAGGTTCTAAATATCTACTATAATATTTGTGTGGCTATAAAACTTTTTCATTATGGTAAAATAAAAAATTTAAATTTGATTCTTTTTAAATTAAAAAAAATAATTATTTTTCGGGATAGACTAAAAAGAAAATACGATATATTAACTAAAATAGAGTCCTTTTAACCAACACCAAAGAAATATGGAAGAATGGTAAGGTTCCTCCTCCCGTAACTATAGTTTTGGCCTAAAGTCTTTTTTGATAGAGAACTGTCAACCCCATGATTATTATCTACTGTGCAATTCGAATTAGTCGGAGCGGTGAATTTCATATAGTGAGACTGTTATACAATAAAAAGATACTAACCAAAATCACCAAATCATGAAAGTACTTATGGTTTTGAAACAAAAAAAAATTGATAAAGCATATGTGTGATGAGTTTGGTAGGGAGCACTATTGACTTTTCACATGTGAATCTGAATCAATCAAGTGAGTAAGTTGCGAAGGACGAACGATTATAGAAAACAAATTAGAAAAAGAGAGTTTAACCGAGATCATCAATATGAATATATATGATTTTCGAGAAAGGAAAGAAGAGATAAAGCATACAATATATGGGATGAGAGGTAAAAGAGATCAGAGACTAACCAACTAAAGCTATCAAGAGGAAGGTTATAAGCCCAATCTTGAGTGAAGCTGCAAGATTCATGTCTTTAATTAGGCGTAGTACGGCTCTATCACAAATTCAATTATACTTTTTATGGGAGGAGGAACTAAGATTTATAGCCCGTTTGGTCAAGCTTCTTTTTGGTCATATAGAAAAAGAAATTGAGAGTAGATTTGGGCAATATAAATAAAGAACATTTTAGATATAAACATTTACTGGGCAATAAATACATAGAATTATCTATCTATCTATATCTATATCTACATCTATATTTATCTAAATATATCTTTATCTATGTGTATATCTTTATCTATATCTATATCTTTATCTATACCTATCTATCTATATCTATCTATATCTATATCTATACTATATTAAAAGAACAAAGCTCCATAACGAAATGTCATTTGCCTTTTTTACCCTTCAAAAATTAATTTTCTATTGGAAAAATTGTAATCTTAATTAGAAGATTGGATAGTGACTACAATTAGTCAGATTTCTACCGCAATGCGCTCAGCATTAGATAAATTAATTTCACAATGAACAAAATCGTAATTAAACTATTTTTTTATAATATTTAGGACTTTAAAATTAAGTTAAAGAATTAATATATCTTTCCTTGTTTGAACTAGATTGAAATTCCTATATTTAGGACATTAAAGTTCATTAAAATATTACCTTATAAAAGTATTGCTTTAAAGAAATAACAATAGATTTCAGTCCTATTTCCTTGTTGGAATCAAAATGTATAAGTATCAATACTATATTAAAAGCACGAAAACCCTTAGCGAAATGTTTTTCGACTTTTTTACCCTTTTAAAATAGAGTTCACATTGGATAAAATAGTGTAACGACCCGGCCGGTCATTTTGAGAATTTAAGTTTCGTTCGACGGCATAAGGTCTTGAACAACTTCATATTATGTGTATCGACTTGCATGCGTGGTCGAATTTTGTTACCGGATGATTCGGAGTTGAATTTGGGAGAAGGATTCTAGTTTGGAAGGTTAAGCGGTGAGAATTTGACCGGAATTTGACTGTCGAGTAAATGGCTCGGGAATGGGTTTTGGATGATCTCAACAGCTTCGTATGGTAATTTTGGACTTAGGCGTGCGAATTTGGATTTGGAGGTCCGTAGAGTAATTTGGAGCATTTTGGCGAAAGTTGGAGAAATTAAGTTTGCAAAATGGAGAAGTTTGACCAAGAGTTGACTTTTTGTGATATCGGGATCGGAAGGCAATTCTGAGCATTGGAACAGCTTCGTTATGTCATTTCGGACTTGTCTGCAAAATTTGGCGTCGTTCCGAGTTGATTTGATAGGGTTCGGCACGACATTTAGAATTTGGAAGAATTGGAAGTTCATAAGTTCGATTCATGGCGCGATATGCATTTTCGGCGTTGTTTGATGTGATTGAGACCTCGAGTGAGTCTGTGTTAGGTTATGGCACTAGTTGGTATGCTTGGACGGGGTCCCAGGGCCCCCGGCGTGTTACAGACGAGTTTCGGATGTTTTTCATAGTTTTGAACAGGTCTGGTTCTGGTGTTTTCGCACCTGCGACACTTTGCAGCACAGGGGCGGCTCCGCTTCTGCGTGAACCTGGCCGCTTCTACGGTCATGAAGGCCTGGGAGCTTGCTCGCTTCTGCGGAGGCTGGCACGCAGGTGCGAAGGCCACTTTTGCGGTCCAGCGATCACACCTGCGAAGAATCTCGCTTCTGTGGCTTCCCCTTTCGCTTCTGTGGTGCCGCTGGTGCGACTGTAAATCCGCAGATTCGGTCCCAGGCCTAGTTACATGAATTTGCAGATGAGGACTATTTCTCGCAAATGCGGCTCCGCAGATGTAATTGCTTATCCGCAGATGCGGAAGTTCTAGTAGAAACATTTAAGTCGAGGGTTTGGCCATTTTCTTCATATTTTGAGCTTTAGACTTCGGTTTTGGGAGCTTCTTTTTGGGTTTTTCAAGCAAATCGATTGAGTAAGTGTTCTTCAACAAAAAATATTCCATGATTTTATCTTTGTTTTTTTAAATTTGTGTTTTGAGTTGAGGAAAATGGTGATTTTTGAAGAAAGTTTTCAAAATGAAATATCATGATTTGAGGGACGAAATGGAATCGGAAATTGATAATTTTAGTACGGTTGAACTCATATCGGAATGGGTGTTCGAGTTTTGTAAAATTTGTTGGGTTTTGAGGTACGGGCCCGGGGTCGACTTTTTTGATTTTGATAAAGATTGAGGCTTTATGATCCGGAATAGTCTCTTATGAGTTTTATTTGTCCTTTGAAGTTATTTTGGTTAGATTTGAGCCGTCCGGAGGTCATTTCACCCGAGAAGTTCATTTTTGAGTAACGGTTTGTTTTCTTTGAGGTAAGTATCTTGCCTAACCTTGTGTGGTGGATTTCCCTTTAGGATTTGCGTCTTCTATGTTGATTGTAGTCCGTGTACGCGTGACGAGTGCGTGCTCGGACTTATTTGTGGAAAGTTATCCTTTTAGGGGTCTTAGGTTCTTATATTCACTGAGTATGAAGTTGTTCTTGATATGATTGAGCTTCCTATTTACTAGTTTCACCTCTACGTGCTTTAATTGGAATTAATTGCTTTATGATTCACTCTTGTTGCCTATTTGACTCTTACTTGGCTTAACCAAAGATTTTTACGTCTAATATTGTCATGCTATCTTCATATCTTCTTTATTGGAAATCAAATATTTCATCCCCCCGTAACTGTTTAGTCTTAATTGAGGTTATGAATATCTTTTCGCTGCTCATCCTTAGTTGAATTTGTTTGAATATTCTTTTCGTACCAACCTTAAAAGAAGTCTAGATATCCTATAGTTAGTCGACATGTCCTTATTTGAAATTATGTGACTCGTGTTAGCTTCCTTGTTGTTGAACTACATATTGTGGGATCGTTGTTACATATTATTTTCTCCCTTGTTGAGCTGTTCTTATTACGCCTAGTATTCTCTATTGTGGTTATTTCTTGTGAGCTAGTTTTACCTTCTCTTTGTGATCGAAAGTTC